CACATTATAATTGGAATGGTACGTCGCCCTCTACGATTGATCTCGTACTTAACAAGAACGTTCGAGATCTGGGCGAGTTGGTAGCTGTGGACGAGCTGAGCTCGGACCACTGTCCAGTGCTCTTCAATCTAAACAGAGCCAGACCGACAACAGAAAGGTGACTACAAGAGGACGGACTGGTCTGAGTTCAGGGTGTCCATGAATAATCTCACCATCATCAAAAGTAACATTGGTAAGGATGATATTGATGAGATTTAAGAATAATTTGTTCAGAATATTCGAAGATCTTCAGACACCTCTACGGGGAAGGTCGTGGTGAAAAACGATTGAGCTATTGTTCCGCTTGATGTTGTTGAACTCATTAGGCGAAAACATCGGATACGCAAGGACTGGCAGAGAACGCGTGACCCCTGTTGCAAAGATAAAATGTTGCGGATGCTGACGAACGCAACCATCCCGACCATAGAGAACGGTGACGTGCATGCGGTGACGGACCATCAAAAGGCTCAGTTGTTTGGAGAATACTTTGCCAGTGTTCACCGAATTAAACCCAACGTCTGTGATGAACACAGAGCCACCACTAGCACTGCAAACAACATCATGATCAGATCGGCCCCGACGATACCGGAACCGGCATTGCTGAAGTGAATCACCGACGTCGAGGAAGCGATTGCAACCATTAAGACACTGGGAAAAACAATGCCCCAGGAGTCGATGGGATTGAGGCAGTTCTACTGTGCAGTCTGCCTCGAAAGGGTGTACAACTAGTACATATAGTCAATGCTATAATCCAACACAAACACTACCCAGATTGTGTGAAGCATACGGAGGTAGTGTGAGAGTGGACCAAACCACATCAACGAATTATTCAATTGAAGCAGGTGTCCCGCAGAGGTCGTGCCTGTCACCTCACATGTACTCTCTGTACACGCAGGACTTTCCGATGTTCCCGAGAACGACAGCTTGGTCGTAATAAAATGGAGGTTAATCCTAACAAAACGGAACTCGTCAACTACTCGAAGAAATTTACTAACGTGAAGATCATCGGGAAGTAGCGAGTCAAAGGTAACTGTGTTGACGAGCAGAGGAGGGCGCGATATCTGGGAATTATATCTGCGGAAAAACGCACGTACCCGCTCATTGCACGGAACTCTAACTTAGTGTTGATAACAAGCCGCTAATTTACAAACAAATGATTAGACCATCTATGTTGTACGCCTGTCCCATATTCAGCAGCCTCAATAGAACTCTTTTGCGGAGACTCGAGACGATGCAGATAAGGTGCTCCATATTTGCCCAAACAGTGACAGATACATTTCATTGATCTGGCAGAAGTTGAGACGGCCACTAAATATATCAGGATGCTGTCTTATAAATTCTTCAAGTTCTTTTTGCCGAAAAACCCGCTGACGAGGGATTTCACGGCGCTTAGGAGTTATCATAATCAGCTCCGTAAACACAGGCTGATTCATGAAATACCCGATATTTTCTATGAACGGCGCGAATGTGATCACGCTTAGTTCATGGAAAAGCTGGCTAAGATAATTCACGTATTCTCGTGATATCAGAATTAGTCTTACCTGGTTTTTTCATGAACGTTTTCCAGATGGCTAGTGATAAACTTGCAACACTCAACTACTATATTCAGATATGAAGTATCAAAATCGCAACACCACGAGAAATCTTACGTAAGCCTCGGCAGGAAGCGGAAAGCCTTAGACTGAATACTGAAATGAGGCTCTGTTGGGCAGAGTCACCCGTTAACACCAGCGGAGACGCCTCCCATCGGCCTGTCGTGGGTCCATGAGGCGTCGCTTTACCTTGCGAACGTCCTGGGGCTCAATATGGAAGTCTCATTCTGCTGAAGACTTCCCTCTTTTTCCTTTACCAATACTCCTCCCTACCACTTCCGTACGTGGGAAAGATGTAAATACTCTGTACATTAGACCTTAAATTTGTTTAAGAGAAATGAATAATATAGCATATTTGATTTTATGCTTTTCCCGATTTGCTGGTTTCTCTTCGCTGTCTATTTCTCTTGTGCTCGGCAATGCGGATTTCCAATGGCCTCTTAGTTTCATCAATATAGGATTTGCCGCACGCACAGGGTATCCGGTAAATGCAATTCTTGGAATCGCAGTTCGCATTTGGTGGCCTGGTTTTCGTGAGGGTGCTACGGATGGTGTTTCCGGTTCTAAAGCAGGTTCTGATGTTGTACTTGGACCCAATTCTTCTTATCCTTTTCGACAATCCTCTAACTAGTGAAGGGCAAGCACTGGTTGAGACGGCTTCTCTTCCTTGAAAGGTTCTTGCTGTCTTCTAGCCAAAATCTGTTCCACCATCACTCAGGAGTAAGCATTCTGTTGAAGATCTTTTTTGATGACGCCTAGTTCCTTCTCGTGACCTTCCTTGGTATTACAGAGCTCGAAAGTACGATCCACTAGAGTATTGACGCTATATTGAATATAGAAAATAACTTTTGTCTAATTTCTACTAAGTCTTTACATTTATTTATACATGAATTGTCAGAAATGGAAAAAAATCTATACCTAGCTTCCTTCAGATGGTGAACGATTCGGAAAACATTGTTTCTGTTCTCAAAACCTGAAAAACTCTTGCAATTGGGAAAGATGTAAATACTCTGTACATTAGACCTTAAATTTGTTTAAGAGAAATGAATAATATAGCATTTTTGATTTTACGCTTTTCCCGATTTGCTGGTTACTCTTCGCTGTCTATTTCTCTTGTGCTCGGCAATGCGGATTTCCAATGGCCTCTTAGTTTCATCGATATAGGATTTGCCGCACGCACAGGGTATCCGGTAAATGCAATTCTTGGAATCGCAGTTCGTTAGAAATAATTTCAATGAGGTGGTTGATGTTGATAAACGTGATACACGTAGAAAACTTTATTTTTTGTTGATAAAACGCTCAATCTGAAAACCAGTTTTAGACAAAAATGTACGATATTCTGCAAAATGGAATTAATATTTACAATGCAATCCCCCAAAAAATATATTCGACAGCATGTATTCAGAATATTATGTAAAAACAATTCATAGTTTCTATTTTATTTCATCATTCCTTTTTTTCAATTTAAACATTCACTACTTATGATGCACTGTTTGGAACCTTTGGTGTAGTAATGAATATTACTGGTGTTTGGTGTTGGGAAAAAACTCCAGTAATATTTTAAACATTCACTGATTATTTCTTCGCTTTAGGCATTATATATGTATGTGGAAATGAAGCTTGAAAAGAAACTTACATATCATTTGCTTTCTTTTTTATTTCTTCCAAAATATTGGAAGTGGAAAGCTTTCAAATTTTCACTATCTATATCATCAGACATTTCTTTAATGCTCCCCCCCCTTTATTTTTTAAACGGGTCAACCAAAAAAATTGAAATTTGGGATAATGAAATTAATGCATGAATACTTTATTTTGAAGTGAAATTGACAGATGAAACTTTCAATATGACGACTGGGTGCTATCTGGAAAAAAAAATTAAATTTTGAACCTCCTGACGAATACTTCACAACCCTTGAATATGAAGTCGATATCTTCAGTTACTACAACATGGAGGAACATTTAATAATTTCCTGAAGACAAACACATTGATTTCGATATTTCTAGAAATATTTCTTTTTATCTGCCATATGGCAATTCCAACAATCCGATGAGGTTTGTTAAGTTAGTTTTTGTTTATAAAATCTTCAAAAAATGTCAGTACGACAATGAAAATAATTGTTCACTCAGAATATTCTCACTTAGTTTTCGGTTTTACTAGTAGAAAGGTACCACGTCAACAATCTCTAAAATGGTCAATTCTCGTCCATTGGAAGAAAAAATTGATGCGATTTTTATTTACGGTGCGACACGTAACTTTCACGAGACTGAAAGGATTTTCAATGAACACAATGGAGCACCACCATATTACTCCAGACAAGTGAGAAACTATTTAGATACTACTTTTCCCGGTCGTTGGATTGGCCGTCGAGGTCCTACAGAATCCAGCCCGCTCGTCAGACTTGACACCTTTGGACTTTTTTTATGGGGTTATTTGAAGCAAAAGGTGTACGAAACCGAACCTGCTTCAATATTGAATATATGGCAGAGAATAATATATATAAATATATGTAGAGATATTGACGTTAGTGTTCAAAAATGTTCGGCGTGAAATATCGGATAGGCTGTTCATATGTCAAGAAGTTCAAGGCAACCATTTCGAGCATCTTCTGAACTAACTTCAAGCTTATTATCTCATATTGTGTAGTTAAATGTAAATGTATTCAAGCAATTATTAAAATTTCCGCCATTTTGTAGTAGTTGAAGATATTGACATTTCTGTGGTTGTGAAGCATTTGTCAGGAGTTTCAAAAAGATGTGTCACAAGACACATTTAAATTTTTTTCCCAGATGGCGCCCAGCCGCCATCTTGAAAGTTTCATCTGTCAATTTAACTTCAAAATAAAGTATTCATGCATTAATTTCATTACCTATCTCAAATTTCAATTTTATGAGTTAACCTGTTCAAAAAATAAAAAAGGTATGGGACATTAAAGAAATGCACTGTATAGGCAGCCAAAATAGATTTTTTCCAGACATTGTATTTTGATATAGTTTGTATTTGCTATAGAGAACAGTTTGTGTGTTTAACAGTAAAACATCAGTAAAAATTCAATATATTGCCTTAATTTTCAGGAGAGATTAATTTTTGGGATCTAAACATCTTTGTAGAGTTTATTTTAAAATTAATTGCTTTCTTCCTTTCTTAGGAAGTTTCCCACATTTTTTTAAAGACAGAAGAACAGAAAGCCAAACCTTTCTTTCCCCAAAAATTAAATTGATTTTATTCAAGTGTATTTTGGCATTGCAATAAATCAATGATAGTTTTGTAACATTTTATTTAAAACAATTTAAATATAACAAACAATAAACATCAACTGTATGTATAAAATAAATAACAGAATGAGGAATATAATAATTGAAACTTGAGTATATATTTTTTAAATATATTTCAATTTTATTCTGATGTTAAGGTAATCATACATTATGTTACAAATTTATATTTATTTGTAAATATTTATAAACAAAGAACTATTTACATGAAATTGTCTGATCATATAAAATCCATGATAATAACGAAAATCAATATGGAGATAAAAGTGACCTTGTCATTATTTGGGAATGTATAACACTTAAATTTGTAATGTTTGACATTTTTTGATCTATCGATAAAATATAAGGATGAATAAAAACCAGTAATACCAGCATGTTTCTTTTAACTTATACTACAATTATAAACTAATGGCAATAATTGTGGCTATTTGGTGTCATCTCATAGATAGCACAAATTCCAATGAACTATATTTTTGATTTTAGTTTTAGTGCATTTGCTCTCAAAACCCTTCTCAGAATTTTTCCTGTCGGATTCCTAGGAATTTCATTCAAAAATACCACCCCACCTCTGAGTTTTTTTTGGGGTGATACATTATCTAAAAATAAAATTGGAATTAGATGTGAAACCTTATTAATTGTAAGTTAATTTCGAGTTTCAAACATGTAGCCCCGGAAAGTTAGAACAAAAAAAGGCTCTAGCCCCTGAAAATTGCTCGACAGCTAGAAATAGTAGAAACCGCGTAGGAAACTCAACGCAGGAAACTTTGTCTGAACTAAAAACTTCAACTTGCTTTCATTTTCTCAAGAAAAAAATGTAATCAATTTGAACTTGAAACAATTTTGAATAATTTAGGACAAATTGTATCAATTTCTGCATTCATAACTTTATTCAGTAAGTTGCAGATTTTTTAGTAGTTGATCATAACGAGTCACATAATTTGGTTCGTTGCTCTATAATAAAAAGGAAGCGAGTCAATCAGTTGGAACAAACACCCAAAGATTATTTTGTTTGATAATAGGGCCTAGTAGGACCACTTATTTTTCGGATTCCAGACAACCAGAGAGTGCTATAACGACGGACTCGGTTTATCGTCCCTTGACACGCAGGTATGTACGTTCTTCAATATCGAGTTCTTTTCACAGTTTGTTAAGAGAAACGCGAATTTACATAACGTAATGAGTGATTTGAAGACAACAGGAGCAAAATGGCCAGTGTACCTTTTTTTATATGCAGGAATGTTCCAAAAGAGGGCAAGGATAGGGGGAAATCAAAGGAAAAGTAACTTAAAACATTTCAGAAAGCTGTTGTCGTTCACCAGAAGTATCGCAAAGGTGTCTATACCAAGGAGTCTAACATTGTTAGGGCTGATAATGAAGCAGGAAAGATAAGTCGCGGGACAAGAGGCTGTGAGAAAGTAGCGAAATTCAAATTCAAGAAACCCTGCATTCACTGTGAAAAGGTAGCCTCTGAAAGATTCAAGGTCAAATAAAAAAGCTGTCCATTATCAGACGTGAGACAGTACGTATGCTTATAACTCTAGATGGGACAATACAAAAAATCACAGATGCTTGAAGGATGAACGATTCATATCAAGGAGCCACCAAAGGAAAATACCACGATTCTTGCCGTGAAACCTTCTTCCATTCACGCCCTTCTGTGGGCCCTCACGCTGCTGAGGGCACCAGTGAACGAAGGGAGAGTTCTGAAGTGACAGAATGTGTCAACTTCGTTGCCCAGTACCTTGAGAATAATAAAGACTCATGTCAGTTTTCACTAAATAACATAATTGAAATTATTACTGACGAGAATAATGGAAATGATAAATTAATGTAATTTAGTAATTGTAGTAGTATTTAAGTATAGTAATTCCTGATAATAATACAAAACTATTCATCTGCCTTCAGGATCTACTCAGACGAACTAGTAGCTAGAAGAAGAAGCACGCAGGTGAAAATAACGACTGTCACAATCCCCCCTTAATTGTAATAACCCATGTAATTAACCCCCTATTATTTGTAATGACTAATTTAATAAGTAATAAATGTTTTACTATAATGAGCATCTAACGTTTTCATTTTCTTCCCTGTACTGTTGTTCTGTGATCGTCTGATACCTGTTTTAATCATCAATCAGGTACGTAATCAGATCTTGACAAAATGAACGAAGTTTCCTGTTTTGGGCTGCCTTAGCGGAAATTTGGCACTACGAACTTTCTTTGGTTTAAAAGTCATGTCTCAGCACTGGAGTGAGCAAAGTCTATACTCCAAAAAGCATCTGATTGAGCTTAAATTTCCTAAACCTTTAGCTCTTTGACATTTTCCAATCAGAGCAGTCAATTTGAATCTAGAGGGTTGTCAATTTTTTTAGCGAAGTTGGTAAAAATTGCCTATTTTTGACGGACGATTGCGGCTGGACTGATTTCGATGTTTCAATAGCCATTCAACGCGGACTTTAATGAATTTAGATGCAAAAAACTGACGAAAGCGAAAATTTCGTGGTTTTTAGGCTATGAAATCTGAAGCACAACCTAGAAACCATCGCAATACTATACCCGTCATTCGAGACCTTCAAGAGGGGTTAAAATGATTGTTAGCTCTCGAGCAATTTTTAGGGGTTGAAGCACTAATTTGTCCGAACTAATGCAAGTCTTGTGACATTTTTCAATTAATTTTATTTGCTTAGGTGTTTGGGATCGCGACAAGGGTTTATTTCAAGAATGAAAAAATAGAAATGATTCACCTATATGAATAAATAATTGCTACTGTTTAATAAACATCACTCGAGAAAAAATGTTACCAACCTAAGTTGGTGATGAAATTTGAATTGATATCCATTTTTGGTCCATAAAGAAAAAACCTGAGTGAAAGACCCAAGGTAAACTACTGTCTCTACAGAGGTCTATTGTAAAGTCAATCTCTGACCTCGACTGCTGAATGAGAGTTTGCTGTTTTCTGTGCAACTAGTAATGCAAGGGAAAAAGATGAAACCAGTGCTCAAAAATAAAGCAGCACTGTTTAACCCATATCATTAGTGCACTGTTGGAGTCAATAACAGTCCTCAAGTATAATGCTGAGTAAAAGAAGCACAGACATATTTGTACAAATCACAAATCGGTGTAAAGCTTGCATACTCTATGAATGAAAAAATTTGATGAAGTAATACCCCTGGAAACTTAACTGTCAAGAGATTGTGGCCAAATAATGAACTGCAGCCAAAACTTTTAAATTCTCTCATACAATTCTAATGAATTCAGTTAATGTTTGAAACCTATTGAATATCATTTTTATAAAATAATTGATTATTTTTTTCTTAAAAATACTTAGCAGCCAAATGTTGAAACACGATGCTTCAGAAATGAATTCTTCTACCAATAATCTCAAAAAAAAGTTTAAAAATATAGGTGTTCAAGAATCATACCTGCCACAAATTTCTCAATCTCCTGTTCTATGAGAGTTTTTCCTGGCTTTTTTACTACAAACGCCATGGGTAATTCTCCTGCTTCGTCATTTGGTAATCCTATAACAGCCGAATCTTGAATACTCGGATGTGTCAATAACAAAGCTTCTAGTTCTGCAGGTGCAACCTAGAGTTGAAAAAAAAAAACCACCAAGTCATGAAGATTTTCTTCTGCTAAAAATCTACATAAAAAAGGCCGTTATGATATATAAAATTACCTGGAAACCTTTGTATTTGATCAGTTCTTTCAATCTATCTACTATAAAAAAGTAACCATCATCATCATAATATGCTACATCACCAGTATGTAACCAACCATCTTTGTCTATTGTGTTACTTGTTGCTACTGGATCACCAACATAACCTTTCATAATAAGGGGGCCCTTGAAACATAATTCTCCCTCTTTATATGGTCCAAGGGGATTACCATTTTCATCTATCACCTAAATGAATATACATGAATATACATCATACATCATCATAAAAAAAAATTAAATCACCTTAGCCATCATTCCAGCTACAACTTTTCCACATGAACCAATCTTACTTTTTTCTGGAGGAGTCACTAAGACACCTAGAGTCGTTTCCGTCATTCCATAGCTTTGAGAAACATGTCCAACCTTGAACCTTTAAAAACAGTTAGTTGCTAGCTATTATCAATTTTCTGTTGAACTTTGAAGATAATGCTTTCTTCCTTTCATTTTTTTTTTCCATGGTAAACTGAAAGCAAGGTTAAATGGAGTTGATGTGTCGTAGAAATTGTTCTAATGCTTGCCCCCTGTGGCAGCCAGAAACAACATTGAAGCTGACCAGAATATCATTTGGCTCCAAGTCCAAAGTTCTTATTTTCTCAGTTGGGCCTTTGGAGTAAGATTATCCTTTTCCTATGTGTTGCTGCAGTAGGCTCGTTACATATTACATATCATCATATTATCCTTGTATATAACGAGCCTACTGCAGCCACATGAAGAAAAAGGAGAATCTTAACTCAAGGACCCAATTGAAAAAATGAGAACTTTGGACTTGCAGCCGAAGGATATTCTGGTCAGCTTCGATATTGTTTCTCTCTTCACCATGATACCACTCAAGAAGACACTGGAGCAGGTTGAACAAATTTTCTCAGAGAATATGACACCGCTTCTCAACCATGTTCTCATCACTATGTATTTCCAATGGGATAACTGTTTCTATGTATAAATGAATGGAGTCGCCATGAGAAGCCTCCTCAGTCTTGTGATTGCAAATTTCTACATGGAAGTTTTCGAGAAAAAAGCTCTCGGCATCACTCCATTGAAACCTACTTGTTGGTACCACTACGTTGGTAATAATTTCATCTGGAGCTACAGTGAACAAATATCAAAACAGTTTCAACTCCACAACAACTTCGTTCAACCTCACATTCAGTTCACCATGGAAAGAGAAAACGAAGAAAAGATATAATTTCTAGATATATTGCCAGAAAAATATGTCACACAGTTTATCACAAGCCTGCTCATACTATTGGTATCTCAACAAGAAATGAAATTACTGTCCAGGGCACAAACCTGTTATGATAAAATACTTTGAAAATTGAGAAATAAAACTTCCTATTTTTTTTTACCCCTTGTATTTGTAACTAACGTTACTGGAACTTCATCCTATACGGACATTTTCAAATAAATATTATAAACCAAGTTGATGTATTTCGGGGTAATTTTTCTTCTTAGGCACTCATGGATGAACCATAAGTTCTACGATGCTTGATGGTATTGTTGTAAATCATGCCCGAAAGAAAATAACGCCGGCCGCCACTATTAACCATAAACCAAACGTGACGTAGCTAAAAGCGCGCGAATGTACGATGATTCTCCGCCACTCGAGAAGCAGCGAGAATAATGCTACCGACTTCGACAGAACTTTGGCAAAATTTCTACGACATTCGATTAAGATATTTAAAGGCTAGCCACGAGGATATCGACACAGTCAAGGGGAAGCTCCAGTGCGGTACGCGAAGTGATCTAGTAAGACGATAAACATTCAAATAATAGTTGAAGTTTTAGTTGAAGTGTTTGTTGTATATAAAGTGAAATAAAGTTAAGTTTGATTATTCAGTGTAGTTAATTATTGGTCAACCCACGGGGAAAAACGTAACAGTATTTCATTTTCAGTTTATAGTAAGTAGTATGTGACTTGTCTTGCTGTACTAAGCTGATGAATGTAGTTGTTACTTCGTGGTAGGAGATCATCATGAAAATTGAGAAATAAATCTTTCTTTGTTTTTTACCACTTGTATTTGTAACTAATGTTACTGCAGTTTCGTCCTATAAGGACATTTTCAAATGAGTATGTTGTTGTTGTTTATTGTATTCATTTGAAAATTTCCATATATGACAAGACTGCAGTAACGTTTGTTACAAATACAAGTGGTCAAAAACAAAGCCATCACTACCACGTAGTAATGGCTACATCCATCAATTTATAAAAACCTTTGTTGACTGTGTCACCAGGATTTGTGGGTTTATAACACAAGAAATCAAACATGTCCTACATCCTACAAGACAAACTCCACTTTTGATTACAAACCAGCCATTTGAAACTGAAAGTCACATTATGATCATTCACAAGTCAACTGATCAACTTCACAACACAATATCATTTTGGCCAAGGACAACGAGAGCTTCTGTCATCAGCGAGTGTTTACAGAATTTCCTGTTCCTGTGACTCAAGGTACATGAAAATTTCCAAAAGCAGCATTAACACCAGGATGCAAGCATACCTGACACCTATGTCAGGTAGCCAGAAGTGGGCTAGAATATAACAACATTCCTTTTCCCACCAGCAGCAGCAGCCTAGCACAAGTGTGGTCCATGAATATTACAAGTTCCTTGCAACCATGGCCTACCGGCATGAATTTTGTTCTTTCTTATTGATCAAATATCTTCGTTGAAAATTATTTCACAAAAATCCTCGAATATCACTGAAATAGGAGGTAATGGTACTGTTTACCATCAGTGTTTCGTTGAAGAAGTACAGCCTAATAATTCTAGATTTGTAGTGTCAAACTGAAATTACTGAATTTGACCCAAATAAACAAACAAAGGGTAAGCTAAATAAAACCGTTCAAAGAACAACAGACTAAATCCACTGAATTTTTATTGACATCCTGTTCGAATACTGATACTCTCATTTGAATACGTTTTAAAAAATATCTCCATTATTTATCAACCAGATTTGACACCTATTTTTTGGTTATTCAATATACAGAATATATAATGTGGTCCCAAGAGGTACATTTTTCATTGAAATCTTTAGAGGATGTCACACCTTAAGAGTGGAGGAATGGAGGGCCTAAAAATTACATAGTCAAATGACATTTTAACAATGAAATTTTTTGTCAATGGAGTTATTTTACCCTTTCAAAACTTTTGAATTCCCCTGTTTCATCACTGTGATATATGTAGTATTTCAATAACATTCGATTTTGTGTTATTCTTATGATATTCGCAAGTTACATAAAAATATTGAATGAAATGAAAGCAATTACAAAATTTCTAATGAGACAGATCATGTAACATATTTTACTGAATTGATTACCTTTCTTTCAGTTCTTTTTCCATTTCTTTGCCCATTGGAGCTGCTCCACTTCTTATTTCTTTGATACAAGATAAATCATAATTTTTCACCATTTTACCTTTCAGCAAAAATAACAATACTGGAGGAGGAACTATTAGTCTAGTCACCTGGAATTAAATTTATTTACAGAGATTCGCGAGATATTTTGTTGTACAACTCACTTTATACTTTACTATAGCTTCAAGAAATATTTTTGGCTTGAATCTTGATAAAACCACCATCGTTTTGCCACGCAGCAAGTTCAAAAACATCAACATGAACCCAAAAGAGTGAAAGAAAGGTATAAGTCCCATCATACCATCATTAGGATCATCATTTGTTGCCATGTGATTAAGAGAATTCCTAAAAATTACTACTAGTTACGTATATAAGTCTTTCAATGTCAATTTTTTTCAGTTCATCTCACTCCAACAATGTTTACTGAAAAAGAATATTTTGTTTTGAAATCCTTTCTACAATTAAAGTCGACATGACAATTAACAGTACCATTTACTTTTATCACTCTGCAATATTTTGACAAGTTTGGTAACAAACATACAACATGGCAAGTGGGAAAGTCGGTTTAGTTTGGAAAAAGTACAGTGCGAAGAGAGCTAATGAAATGATATTTGAGCATCAGTCTGAAGTTCACTTAGTTATAGTGCTGTATTGTCAGCGTAACTATCTAGTTTGTAGGTAAAAATAAGAATAAAAACATGATCCATTTATATTAGTTATTACAGGCGACTTTAATATTATCAAAGTTGATAAAGTGTGAAAGTCAAAAAAAGTAGTCTTATTTCCTGAAACCATAAGAGTCTCAGTAATAATCAACAATGAAAAATAATTAATTTTTATCTGCTACTTTATGAATAATAATTAAAATGTATGTACACATTGTATTGCAAAGTATTGAAGGTGTGATATGACTTTGGAAAATAAAGTGAGAACGAGTATAAAATTAAAATGAAAAAATTAGAGAGGCTATCGGAAGACTTGTATATTATTATATATAACTTTCTGTGGCATAGAGAACTGCTATCACAGATAATTGTATTTTTTTCACTTCCCATGGAGCATATGTGGACCATAAACATGAAAAAAGTGTGAAAAAGAAAATTTTGTTCTATGTATAAGATTGGCTTATTCCTAAACAGGTTAATAGTAAGCATGAACCATGCGGTTAATTAAATGTCAACCACCCCCGTTCGATCTCTATCTGTGTTCATAATGATCTGTCAAAATTTATGACAGCTTTTCTATAGAGTAAAACTCAGAAAAATTCAAATAGAGATCTTGCCGGTTATTCTATGAAAAAATGTCTAAAAAAGCCCCACCACAGTCTTCTGAAAGATATCTCTGAAAAACATTAAAACGAAATAAGCTAAAAAAAAAGTTTGGGGGAGTTTTCAAATGTGCAGTTTTCTGGCTTTAAGCTAGAAGACAGCCCAAATAATCAATGAGGTAATTGAAAACACCAAATCTTTCAAATCGTCTTGAAATGGTGGAAGATCTTGTTACCCCATTCTTCGAAACACGAGCTTAAGAGCAAATTCCCAGTAATCGATTCAGAAAAGTACTCAATCAAAATGACTGAAGTACTCAATCAAAATGACTGGAAAAAGTTTTTGGTCACAAGGAGGGTGGGTTATCAATGTCTCTCTAGTTCTCGACAACCTGGTGAAAAATCTGCAAAAACCTCACTTGTGACTTCACATCAATAACATTCTTGTTTAAAACTACAAAATTTGGATACATAGATTAGATTAATATGGAGCTTCTGTGCTGAACAGCCATCACACGGCGACCTTTGCAGGTCTATTGCGTGTGCCCTCATGTATGCTAGAGTTCCTTGTCTAGTCCCGTCCTTGTAACTAGACTCCATAGGCCAGACAGACCTCAAATTCCCCATATATTGAGAGGGTTGTGGTTTTCCTTCTCCTAAAGTTGCAAACCTTATCCTTGACAGACCTTCGCAATAGCATAGTATGTGTCCTCTTGGCAAAGCCTGCATAGGGCTGTGTCTGCCAGTCCAATGTTGTTCATGTGTTTGTTGAATCTACAGTGTCCCGTCAATAGCCCGACCAGAACTCTAGTTGATCGCCTATTCAGACTCAGTAGGTACTCCATGAATTTTGGCGATGGCTCTTTAATGAACTCTTTGGCCTGTCTCATACCCGGCGCCTTATTTAACCATTTTTGAGATTGTTTTTCCTTCCAGTTGCTGTTACAAGTTTTTCGCAGCGCTTTGCCTGTACCATAAAAGGGTTCTGGGCCAATGGGGGAGCATTGTGCTCCTTCTCGTGCTAGTGAATCAGCCTCTTCGTTGCCCTTGTATCCACGTAGTACCAAAAATTTCGTACTACAAATGTCATTCGACCACAGTCTACCAGCTCGAACTTTGTTCTCCCTAATCATGACCTGAAAGCCTATGTTCTTATATAATTTGGTATATCTACTAATTGCTTTCTTCCAGTGATCCAGTGGGTAAAACATGATGAGTTCTCTTTCCTTTTGTTGTACTGCCTGTAGTTCTCTCCTGTAGGTCTCTCCAGCCTGCCTGTAGGTCTCTCCAGCCCAATTTGGTTCAGGTGTCCTCTAAATGGTCATTGTCCAGTGGAGGGTCGAATAGACCCACTCACTTTGGACCTAACCAGTGAATATCCCTGTGATTATTCTGAGCCGATTCCTCAGTGTTGAAGCCACTGAAATACCTCTAAAGTTATATACTTGTAAATCTCAGCTGAGTTGGGATTGAAAAACCTTCCTAAGGCAACTATCATAGATAAATCAAGCAACCTAAATATGTGTTTTAAGTCAAAAGGTAGTGAGAAAACCTATATCCTCGCAGAGGAGGGGGACAATATTCCATTCACTGTTTCAAACTTTTTAAACAGAAAGAACAATTTCGATGATGGAAACTTGATCTACTCAGATATCATTGGTATGAAGTGCAAGGACAAGGGCAAGCAAAAATGTTGATTAGTCTATCGACAACGAAAGCTAATTGTATATGAAAAACAAAGAATTGGTAACAAGACCTCCGACTAACCATTACAATCTACATCAATTTGATATATAAAATTTTTAGTCTAATTTTTCAAAATTAGCATTTGAATTTTCAGACTGTCGAATTTCCTTATTTGTTACTAATCGATTTTCAGAACTCACCTCAATATATCTACATAGGTTGTCATGTTGTCATGGGTACACATAACACCCTTAGGTAACCCGGTGGTGCCTGAAGAACATAAAATGGTGGCAACAGCTTCTTTTGTATCAAGTGGAACAGCTTTGTAGTCGTCATCAATTTCATCAAATTCAGCACCTTTAATTATATCTTGGTAATTCACAACATTTTTATAACTGGGATGTGACCCTTCAAACAATATCACTTGTTTCACATAAGGATGTTCAGGAAGTATGGAAATTATTTTATCAACTGTTTCACTGGAGCAAAAAATCATTTTCGGTTGGGAAAGGCCGAGCACATGTTTCAATTCACCTAAAATATTACAATATTAATCAAAAGAGTTGAATGAAATGACATACAGATATGTAAATTTCTTGAACAAGCCAAGATTGATTAAGAGTTTTCACTGAACAGCTTTCAGAATTTTCGATTTATTGTTAGGAGCGTGTAACAAAATAGACAAATACATATGTCAGAGGAAATGAGATTTGAAGATACTTGATAATTAGTCGCTAATGAGGTTGTAACAATTGATGTTTACAAGTAGACCATATACTTACATTACCTCATGTTAAGAAGTGGAAAAAAATAAAGAATGTGGTTTCTACAAATATTCGTAGGTAAACAATGAAAATGTTTTACTTTTAATGAAGGAGACTAGTTTGACCAGTAAAACCTCTCAACCATGGTTTACTGATACCCTTCGAATATTGAGGAATCTGCACGTTAATGCCTCAAGGAGATTCAACAGAACTAAACTCGAAACATGCATTCATACTGTTCTCTGCATAATACCTTGTAACACGTCCGTCTCTCTAATCTGAAAAGAAGTCCTACTATAGCCATGTGAACCCAACTCAAATTATGGAATATTGGCAATAACAACGTATCCACATTTCTAGCCACGGCTAAAAGATGCCAATATAATCAATGATAATTTTATTGACTCAAAATCACTACCTGGCCAATACAATACAATACATTGAAAGCTTCCACCAAAATTTTTCATCAGCATCCTTAGAGTTTATTTCTATCAGTCCAGTCCAATAACTAATTCTCAAACAGAAGCCTCTTACTGAAATCTCTGGTTAAATGCTATAACTGCATTGCCTTTTGCCCCTCTCACATATAATCAATTTATCATTTGAAACAGTCTGTGTTCCCCAGTAGTGGAAGACATTAGGTGTCAAACCAATACCTAAGAAGCTCTCTACAAAAGTAAATAGCCTCGGTGATCTTCGCCACATGAATCTGACATCTGTTCCCCCTCAAAATCGCTGAAGAAGCCATACAGATATAAGACTTTGTTGAAGAACAGCATATTCTACCTTTGAACCAGTCAGGCTTCTGTACAGTCTCTGCATCACGTTCTATGACAGACGATTTCCTCAAGGCCCTAAATAACCAAAAAAATGGTATCTCTTACTCTATTGGATATGTCAAAGGCTTTTCATACTGTCGACCTTGACTGCTTAATCGCGTAACTTCATTACATTGGGTTTAATGGTCGAATTCCAGACTGGTTCAAAGCCTTTCTCTTCAACTGATTACAATTTGTCAATGTAAACAACCACCTAACAGTACTCACTTTGGACACCCAAATTGTCAATAACGGCGTACCTCAGGGTTTGGTACTCACTCCAACTCGTTTTGCTATTTTCATATCTGACTTGCAGAAGTTAATGGAATACTGTAATCTGTATATGTTTGCTGACGTCTTGTCAAAAATTTGATATGCTGAAGAAAATAAACAGAAAATAAACAAAGATCTTACAACCATAAAAAGGTGAACAGAGGAAAACTCTCTACTCCCAAACCCTGCAAAAAGCTTAAATATTCTTATTGGGTCATCCTTCCACTTAAGCCGCCTTGATGTGTTCCCTGTATGTACTGACAACGAATTCATTCCTTCTGTATCTGAAGATTAATGTCTTGGTGTTATTTTTGTTCAAATTCATCAGACAATTAGATATCATCACAAAGAGAACCTACCTAAGCCTTTAAAAACGATTCTCCTTCAAACGGGATCTGGGTGCTACCACTAAAAAATGCTTCCCAATTCTTTTGTCTCCCATACTAACTATGATGACATAGTTTATGGACCTTGTCTATCACATGAAGGGCTTGCAAAATTGCAAAAAATACAAAATCAATTCATTCATTTTATAAAAATGGTTCTTCCTCAAGCACATTGATATTGATGAAATGTGTTTTGTTCACTACATTTGTCTTGTCAACAAGATCTTGGCTACTGGACTACCCAAGTACCTTGCCTCAAAAATAGTTCGAAGGGAGGATATTCACAACAGATCACTGAGGAACATAAATTATAGATTTTCTATTCCTGTCCATCGTTCTTCATTTTTTGAGGCATCCTTCTCTTACTTAGCAACTTATCTGCCAAATAATATGCCATCAGAGTATTGTAATCTATCTGCTCCTAGTCTGAAGAAAAATTTCAAAAAGGCTATCCTGAATGGGCAGTTGAATTAAATAAATTTTAGCAAATTTCAATCCTTTCAGTTTGTTTGTATCATATGTTTTTCACCTGTTTTTGGGCTTGATTGTGTTCATTTTGAATGTACTTTGTCCTTTTGTGTGTAAATTTTAATTATAGAACAGAATAATAACTATCAGGGTCAAATGGGCAGCCATTTGATTGAAGTAAAAGAGAGTAGCAGATGATACAATTGGGGACTTCAATAGTTTTTTTACTTCAATTCTTATATGTACATGAGTAAATTTTATATAATATTTATGGTATTGAAAAATATTTTGATTCTGATAATGTGACACATATTCACAAAAAGTGTATTTTAAGAAGTGAACAAGACTAAAATACTTCAAGCTCTCTTAACAAATGTCTGGGTTCTTTTAATGATTATAAACAAGTAGGTAATGTTTTTCTCAAATATAGATAATGAAAGTTTTCAAGCAAACAGTCTAGTAGATAAGCAATAAAAATAGGATTAACTGTCAGTATCTGTTATTCTGGATTCACCGAATAGTGTAAATTATTTTTATGTTGTAAAATTTTAAAACAACAATTGTTGAAAACAACATTTACTAGCGTGATTGTGTCGGTATACCAACTTGTGATTCTCCAGATATGAAATGTAGTGATGATTAAAAACTTTGAACCAACACAAAACCTGTAACATTATAGTAAGTTTCAAAAAACTTAGAGTATTTCAAATAAATTTTGGTTAGGTCATAAATATCATGAGTCACTGCTGGCGTACATAAATGTTTTGAAACAGGTCATTTCATTGAGCTGAAAAGTCAAACCACAAGTTTCTACATCAACTACAGAATGGGAAATCACTTCCTTTAGCTTTCAGTGCAAGAAAAGAATTAGATGAAACCAGACAGGTCTGTCTTAATCTAATTTAGATCCAATCAGCAGTACTCGAGAAAGGTTCTGAATGAAACTTTTGGGTTCAGCTGTTTTCAAAGAAAAGGAAACAATGATTTTTCTTATCATTTTTATATTCATCATAATTTATATAAATACCATTTTAATCATGAGCTTCATATTTGAAATAGGTTCCAAATGGGTATGTTTATCCATTCAAAAGCTAGTGTTTTCTAATTTCATACTATCAGAAAGACAAATCACAGATCTTTCAAAACAAAAATATTTGTTATGGTTTTTGTTTAAAACAATAAAACACAACGTATGTTTAAAATACAAACTGAGTAGAAAAAAGTATCTTCTGTATAATTCAGTGTTCATATAGAAGTATTTGTTTCGAAAGAATTTTTTTCTTTTGTGTAATTCAATGTTTATATGAAAGTAGCTGTTTCAGGAGGACTTTCTTTCAGTTTGTGTCTGAAAGTTACTTCTTTGCATGATCTACACATCCATGTATAGAGTTACTTATTTTCGAATTGATTACTTCCTTCCCGTGGGTTGGGCTACCTATCGGGCGCGTCCCCAGGTGGCGGATAGGGAACGGCCAGGGGACTGGAGGTCCTATCCGGGAAGCCAATGTGGCCTAACGGACGGGGTTGACGGACTCCTGGTCCGTGGCAGAAATAAGTAGGGTGAGGGGAACTAATACCCCCAAAAGCCCTGCAAAACATGCCACCACGGACCAGCCTACCCAAGCTAAGATATAAGGAATCGTGTCGACAGCTGAATGGCCGCAGGGTTATATGCGATTACGAACGATCCCCTTGAGGAACCGGGCGAAACCTCATTGTAACTAGCCTTCCTATGGTAATGCGGGGCTCTGCTAGAGGTGACCAACCCTTCCCTTGCTACTCGTGGGAACACACATGGACACCAAAAGAAAGAAAAAAAAACAACCAATCCCGAGGCTGGGCAGCAATGCTCATCTCAATTTAGGGCTTACAGATACAGAGATGATTACTTCGTTCTTTTCTTTGGAAGATTCCCTCATTTCTTTTTTTGTATCAAGATGGAGTAGTAGAAAACCAAAAACTTTCTTTCCCAAAAATTAATCATTCCTAAAAATATAACCCCTTCAATTCAATCATTGGGCTATTTCATCAAATGAAAAAGTTGAAGTTCTCTTCGAGGACAGTACATTATAAAAATTCCAAGTTCAACAAACATTGAAGACGGTGATTCATTTGCTTTGTAACAATAAATTAATACCAAAAGACGTTAATCACACAAGGACTGTCTATTATATGACTATGATACTGGACAAATATTGCTGAGATGTTCACATGGTTGTCAATGAATCCACTTCAGTTACTTGTTACTATAGTATCAAAATTCTGTTGGGGGTTAGAAATATTTGAAGATGTGGGAAAGAAATGTTTTACCTTTCTACTTCTTCATGATTATAAAAAAAATGGAAAATTACCACTTTTTTGTATAAAGATGGAGAAGTAGACAGCCAAAACCTCTTTCCCAAAAATTGAAGTCTCGTAAAAATATGCCCTTTTCCATTTAAATCTGAGAATGTATATCAGATATTTGAAATTATTTTTCATCTCCATATTTTAAGTTGTATTGTATTCTATGATTCAATACACCAAATGAACTGAACTTTCAGATTTATACCTGGCGTGTAATCAGGATTCAAAGGTGCAAAAGTAGCCCCTGCAAATAATGTTGCTACAGGAACAATACAAAACTCCAATCTATTTTTGCTATTTATTGAAATGTTGTCTCCGATGGATATACCCTGCTTCTTCAACCATCCTGCTAAACGCACTGCCCTTTTGAAGAGTAAATTTGCTGGTAGTTTTTCTCCTGTTTCTCCATCAACCTGAAATGTCAAAAAAATATCATTTATTGATGAAGCGTGAAACATCACAAAGGCTCTCTTAGATGATGCTACTATGCTGCTGGTCTCGTATTCAGTGATTTAATTTTCAAACAAATATGTGGCAAGTAAGAGAAAAGGTCGGACGTACATTGAGGAAACAAATAGTTCACAAATATGAAAGGATAAATGACTACAAGATACATGGTAAAAATTATAAGTCCATAAAACGGCAACAACAGAACATATATATGGATTAAAACATAGATATCAAGTATTTCACTAGACCAGAGGTAAATATACAAGTCCTTAGATTATCTAGGAAAATAGAGAACAGAGGATTTTGCACCTTCTGTATTTTCAACAAGTGCTAACAACCTAACGTTAACTCACTCCTATTGGTAAATATATATCGCATCTAGAATGTGACGAAATCACAATCGGTTTTTTATGGGACACGTCAAAAATAAATACCTATATCAGACAAAAGGAAGTGGAAATACTTTTTCCACTGTACCATAACCGTTGCATTGAACTTTAGTCAATATTTGTTTTTGTTACAAAAGAATGCTGCTGCATTGAGGTTCTGGAAATATAATATTATATAGATAACCCTCTATTGTCATTTTTTCAGAATATCTTCGAAATGACTGACAGTGATAATTTTACATGTTCGATTTCATTGTAAATAAACTCGAATTTTCTAGCAATAGCAGTCTCAACTGATCTAGCTTTTCTAAAACCATGTTGATGATCGGTTAGAATCTTGCATTTTTCGAAAAACGCAATATTTCTATTTGCTATTTTTTCAATAAGTTCAATAATATCAGTAATGATATTTGGCGATAGTTATCTATATCTTCATGTGAACCCTTTTTAAGAATTGGAATAACTTTGACTGTTTTGAAGACACTCGGAAACATACCTTATATTATAGAGTGATTAATAAGATTCAATAGAATTTCAGATATAGATGGAATGACATATTTTGGAAAGTTTATTGCTATATCGTCTAGGCCACTCGATTTTCTATTTTTTAGTTGGGTCATTGTTAAAACTAGTTCAGGTTCTAGTACTTCTTCAAAAAACATTGAGCTTTCATTAAATTCCGAGACCGTATGTGGTAGTGACATGTTCTGACCTACATGTCTTAACAGAGCTGCCGAGGCCTCTCTGGCAAAGTGGCAAGCAAAATTGATGGCATTTTCTGTTCTGGATACCATTCGCTCCCTTTTATTACCAATTTTAGTTTTACCTCTGAAACTATTTACAATATCCCATGTAGCTTTCTGTTTGTTTTCAGCTATTTCTATTTGATTTGCGTAATATCCTGTTTTTAACTTTGTATGATTAGTTGTAAATATTTGAACGCTAATTATTAAATTAGGTCAACTCTATTTGTAAAACACCTGATATATAGTCTAGCCGACTCGGGTAAGTTTTTTTGAAAAGGTAGTTTGTGATTGTGATTGGGTAATTCTGCTGTGGAGCGATTTTGCGATATCCTTATTATCGATTGGGATGAATTTTATCGAATGAATTATTTCTTCCGGACCGTTTAAAAACATCTCCGGCAATGTTAGGGCAGTCGAGCATTGGGAGGTAAGGGTATAGTTAGTTATTTTTTTGGCGCGGATGTATCGCGAAATCAATTATTTACGAAAATACCTTTTTTTAGATGTTTTTCTCTGATATGGTAAATCGAAATTTCGCCCGGACGGTGCTACCTTCGAGAACACGTCGAATTGGATGGGGTCAGACCTTTTTGAAATTTATTGCCTTATACGTAGCGACTAAACCGCAAATTTTCCGAAATCATATGTATGGTGGTGTTCCTATTTCGACCGTGTGGACGTGGAATTAAGAGCTTTTCACGAATTTGCGTAGTAGCAGGCCATAGGAATTTACACATCACTAGCAGCTAGATAAGTACCGATTAGAAGTTTTATTTTTGGTGTTGTTTTTGCGGGATCCTGACATTATTGTTTACGAAAGCAATGAACCTCACTGAATAGGTGTTTCCGAATAGTTTTGTCTTCGCCTTTGTATAAGCGTTTAGTTTGTAGTATAAATGAAGAATAAATCCGTTGAACAGGCGTATTTTGGGGAAGCAACATTCAACGTTTTTATTCTTGTTCCTTTGTCGTATTCCACCATACTATTTTCGCGTATCTGTATTGTTTAGTAGTTTCCTTTCAGGTTTAGGCTAGTCGGTGCACAATAAACTACTTGGCGTCCTTGTTATCATTTTTTTGCACATATTTATCCTTATCTGTTGGATTTAACCCACGGCCCTTACGAGCAAGCACATTACTTGCCGTACACAAAAAAAGGACAGAAGTGTTATTCCTAATGTTTTAGAAGTAAATGTCTCTGATAGATATTTTTTTTTTATTTTTATTGAATTTAATGTAATAACTTCTTTAATCTATTTGTATATTCTCTTTTTTCCCTTCTGTAAATCTCGTCACTCACTTCTCCATCTATCATTCTTTTGTGCAATTCTCTTAGCTGACTGCTTTCATTCTTAACTTCTCTTGTTACCCAACTTTTTTTTACTTTCTGTTTTACATTTATCCTATTTTTAGGACATGACACGTCAAGACACCAAGTCAATTTCTTCATAAAGGCCTCAAATGCATTATTTGTAGTAAGTCCACTTACACACGTCCAATCAATATCACTTAGTTGTGTCCTTAGTTCTTGTGAGTTCTCATCTGTAAATTTTCTACTTAAGTAGGTAGTTGTAGCCAGAGAATCATTCGCTAAAGAGTTGGTAAGATTGCATGAGAAAATATGGGCAAGATGTTTGGCTAATAAAGTATCATATAAAAAAACACTGACGTTTTCTTTTGAAATATTTGTGATAAGGTAGTCAATTGCTGTTGCACTCACATGGTTATGTTTATTTATTAGGATATGTGTTGGCTCATTTGTTGTTTTGGTAAGATGAAATGATTCTAAGCAATCATTTAATATTTTCGTTTTGCTATTAGTGATATCGAGACTGTTCACGTTTAGATCACCGCAGACAATGAAATAATTAAAATTTTCTTGCAAGTAAATACAAGTCTGCTCCAATTTTTCAATGAATATATCAAAATCACCCAAAGGAGGTCAGTCGGTAGCCAAGCGGTTCGGCGTGGGTGCTTTGTTCACTCACTCGAATTGACTGCCGTGTTGGCCGGTGGTTCAAGCCCTAGTCTGAACGATCGATCTTCACTTGCTACCGTCTAACCCGTGTTAGGAATCACACGTTAAAAGGTAAGACCTCGTTAATCCTTAGCTCGCACAAGTTTCGACTTCTGAGGGTTGTCGTTCGTAGGGGTGCGACAGCTGGTTAACGGAAAAACAGATTTTAAACAGATTTTTTTAAATGCAACAGATAACTGTTTTATATTTAAAACTCTCCACTAAAGTTTCTGCACTTATTTCAACATGCGACTGTACCGAGATATTTTCAATATATTTCATTGACCTGCATATTACCTGTTCACGAGTTAAAATAAGAGTTCCTTCATATGGAACTTGTCGAGCAAAATACGAAGCCTCCTGTATGTTGGAAAATGATAGTTGAGCCATATCAGAACTTTAAATCCAGTGTTCAGATATACAGAGTATATATATGTTTTGATCATCGAAGAGGAGTTCTATTTCGTTTATTTTATTTTTTTTTACTTTGAGAATTTACATGAGCTACTACGAGAGTACTGTCGCATCTTGTTTTTACAGGTTTAGTCATATGCTTAGATTGGGAGCATTTTGGGATGATAGGGAGATTGTTAATAAAAAATCATTACCTTCACTTACACTTCTTTCTGGCTCTAAAAATGTATCACCAATTTGAATTCACTTTCTGCCAGTGCAAGTTCTTTTGCTAAACTTTGGGCAGCCATCCTTTTTGAATTTGTCTCAGTTTCAGCATTGAGAGGTTGTGGTTTTGATAATTCACTTGGGACACAGTCAGGCAGAACATCTCTACTTTTCATATGATTTATTATAGCTCTCCTCCATTGGTGTAGTTACTCCTTCTGAGGATATTGTTGCAATCCACGAAACTAATATTAGATTTCCCAAGCCGATGAACAGTTTTCACAAATTATAAGTTTCTTTTATAGATTATTATTGTCAATGTTCAGTCAATATTACATAGTTTCAATTGCAGGTGGATGTTTTTTTAATTGCTATCAATTTTATTTGGCCAGAAGATGACTAGGTTGTACCACCAACATCAATGATGGAAGGAAAAATGACCTCTGCACTAGTTCTAACGCAGCAAGGTCAAGCATCAGACATAGTGCAGAGTGTTTCAGAAAGCAGTCAAAATGGACATTTAACGGAACTTTTTTTTTCATTATTATTTACTTTTTGTTTTTTAACAGTTAATATGTGGCATAGATGATCTGCAATGTTTGGTTGGACCAATACGCAGTTATAAATTTCATTATAGAAATTGGTTACCATATAATCAATACTGGTGCTGGTAATGTAATAATTAATGTTGGTGAATATTCTTGTAGAGCCTAATATATTGAATTTCAATTTAAATGAGTTGAATAGATCCTTCAATAATTTGGTATTAGTATCATTCACCAGATAATCTATATTGAAGTCCCCACACAAAATTATATTTTCAAATCTATTCTCACAAACTTCACAAACTCTAGGTAAACCAGCATACAGCTTAAATTGGCAAAAATCATGATGAGACATTACCTTCAGAAGGAGTAAGTTGCAGCTTAGAAGAGAGGAGAGTTCAGAACAGAGAAGAAGAGAAGAAAGGCTGTCAAGATCTTACATGTGATACATATGGTATGGGCAATTAAAATTTTGCAAATTGTAGATATAAAACCTACATTTGTAAATCACGTAAAAAATTAGGGAATTCGGCAAATGTATGTTGTTTCAAAAATCATCTTCATGAAGGTAATGAAAATAATAACAGTGGTTTGTGAGATTTCACAGTAATGTTTATTAATAATACTAGATGTTTTAGGAAACCAGTCATGTAAATAACAGGAATCTGTTTTTCGAACTTGATTCTTGATTCTGGTTTAGGTATTTCCATTTTTCCTGAAGACGTTTTCAGATATAATTTTGGTGATTATTAATTCAGAACTAAAGATGGAAGTATTATTATTCCAGTGAGAAAATTATTTCAATGGTGAATTATTTGTAAGAAATTGCAGATTCATAACAGTAAAGAGATGATTTATGTGTTTGCTTGGAAGATATTTCAAGAATGATATGGATATTATATGGAAATGATATGATGATTCAAAAATATGAAATATGTTTATACAAATATGAGAAGATAAAGTTAAAAGTTGATAGTAAAGTTGAATCAATTTTCTGCGAACCTAGACCAATTCCATTAGTTTTCAAAAAACAAATGAATAACTGGACCAGTTAAAAACTAAATAATTTTGATATATAGTTAAGAATGGAGAACCCCTCTTTTACCTATTCTCAAAGAGATTGGTAAGTTGAGGTACATGCAGCTTATAAAAAATAGTAAATATATATTTATAGGATTTATAAATGAAGAACTTTTTGCACCTTCCCATGGCAGTCCAATATTCATAAAAGTAGATTTATCCATGGCATATAATGAATTTGAGTTGACAGGTGAAACAGGAATTTATTGGGTGAATGAAATAACAAGTTGTTAAATATTAAAAAAAAAAATATGAAACTTTGCAAGAGACAGAAGAGCGAGTAATTTTTAGTATGACATTGTTGTAATAGGTTGTGAAGAAAAACATTTAAAAACTTTAGAAGTATTCAAGAGATTGTCAAAGACAGGTTTCAAGTAAATTTCAGAAGATGTAAACTTTCTGTAACTAAAATTTAACATTTGGGACATTCTATAGGTCAAACCTATCTTCATTAGAATCTGGAAAGAGTGAAAGCTTTGGTTGAGGTGTCAATTATGATACCAGATATAACTTTGTTACATCGCTGTTCACTTATCAAGGAATCTCGACTCTTTCAGATTTCTATCTATTGAATATTAGAACTTAATAATAAAAATTATTATCTCTCATTGTTAAGACTTTGGGATATAACTGTCCTTGTAGTCAACGCACATACCACTGTTAATGACTGCCACAGTAGCAAACGAAACTTTTGGTACTTCAGGTCTACCAGCACAGATTTTGTTCTCTTTAATTATGACTCAAGCTATGAAAGCCTTTGTTCTCACAGCCCAAGGAGAAAAAAATGTTGCTATCCTTGAACAACTTATAATTTAATTATGCAAGACTTGTTGACCTATGGACCCCACTTTAAAAAAGAAATAATTATTGGTTTCTATTTATTACATGATACCTCTATACAATCCTTCTAAAGATCAAATATTATCTTTGGAAAATAGAAAAAAATATTCAAATTTATTGGTAGTATACCTAAAATGAAAAACTTCAGGGATGTAGTATTTAATCTATAGCTGATCTTGACAGGAAAATAAGTTAATATTATTAAAGGAGAGTCATATGTAACATGTAATAATTACCTGCAGAATATTATCTTCGAAGGTTTTCAGTAACATTATCAAAAGATCTCCCAACGAAACATCGAGGACTCTCTCTATTTCACCTCCAAAAATTATATTTTTCGAATTTTTTTCCATAGTCTCAAAAATGATAATAGATTCAAAGGTGAGAATGACAACCTATTCACCTTATAGCTACTGGTTTCAGTGACTTAAATTTTATCACAGACAATGATACTAATGCAAATTTAAATAATAATTCTGTTGCCACCGATCGAATTATCACATACACTTTTCACATATTTCGTATGTTCATAATTTTATGCAATTTTGGCAACAATGTCTCGAAAACCTTCAGTGGGATTGCCACTTTTATTACTTTCGACAAGCGCGTCGCGATAGGTCGAATTTGGATTCTATATTTGGGGTGGGGGGGGTATTGAGTTCACTTTCTATTTTGTCAATTCTGACTTTAAACTCAGAATTTGGACGTTATTTTCTAATCGAACCTAATTTTATATCTCATCTCATCATATTGATTGTACATTATTACAAAATTAAAATTGAGTGTTTTCTTCTACAAAATACGGGAGCCAAGTTTCATTTGTCGCGTGACGCTTCATTTAAATATTTATGTGGTACTATTGTTCCAGAAGTCACCAGAATCAGAAATGTTGTTTTCAACACACACGTTTTCAAGAAAACGTGTGTGTTTGGAAAATTGTTCTAAAGTAGGATTTCGGGACCACCAAACCACAAGATGAAACAATTTTTCCAGATTATGACTTACTATGACATGTTTGACGGTTTTTTTTAAATTAAATCAAAAAAATTAGTAGTTTGCAAACCAAAAAAAGTTCAGACCACATGCATATAATAATATTAACTTTTATCGACGACCATACAGAACCATTAATCCTATAGCACCTTGAACTTAAATATCTCTCTCTATGATAATGGCAATTTCTCCAAGCCATCTCTAAAAAACCCAATTTCTACGTCTCGCTCCCTCATCAAAAAACCTAACAGTAAAGAATGGATAGATGTATGTTTTAGCCAAAACAACCCCTAGTATTTGAATTAGGCAAGCCTCTAAATAATCTGAATATTTTATTGCTCTGAGATCATGTCGATTATTTTTCAAAAAGGTTAGAGGATAAAGGAGGTTAATTGGTGCAAGGAGACGATGCAAAACTCAAGGAAATTTCTACCAAATATATTTTAACAACATTTTTTGTTTTTGAAGTGAATCATATGATACTCTGTGAGACAAATAATCTGCCGAAGACAATAGCATTGCTTATTCTATTTCACAAATCGCCAAGCTTTCGGTAATATTCTCAATTTGAAATAATCACACGTTGTATAAAATTCATTTAATAAGCATTTATGAAATAGAAATATTTTCAATGATAATGTCACTCTTGTCATTACAGTAAGCTTTGAACATGACAGTACTATTCACTATATAATAGCAGATATCTGAAAATTACATCATTAATATCAATGCGCCAATTTTGTGAAATATTTTCATCAATATTCAATTTCAAATTGTAAAACCCAGAGTAAGTATAGTGTAAGTGTAAGTATAGTCCATTTTTTTTATTGGCGCGGTTTGCCAATTAGACAGAAACACTTGTCCGCGGTTTACCAATAATTTTTCTTGAGTGCTGTTCCGACTAATCCTTTCCTTTTAAATCATAGACACTTGATACCACCTCTTTCAATATATATATATATATATATAAAGTGGATAATTTTAGCGACTGGAGAAATGTACGGTGATAGATTAACAGGGTCTCTCAATCAAAAAATCAAAAATCAAACTCTGTTTTACTTTGCAAGCTTCTTCAGGGCAGTAAAAATGAGTCATGTAATTCAGTTTAAAAAAGTGTGTGATCAGAGACGTTGGCTGTTCTGTAAGTAACCCAATGAGAAAACCCAAAAATTAAATATGTTAATTAATATGTTCATAAATATGTTAATTAATTATTCCGTGTTAGGAATCACACGTTAAAAGGAAGACCTCGTTAATCCTTAGCTCGCACAAGTTTCGACTTATGAGGGTTGTCGTTCGTAGGGATGCGACAGCTGGTTAACGGAAAAACAGATTTTAAACAGAACATATTTTTTAAACAGAATTGACAACACCCTCATTAGTGTTGAGGAAAACAAGTGAAAAAATGTTGTTAAATGAAAGTGAAACCTTGCCATGGGGCGGTTGGAAGTTGGTTAAAAAAGAAAATATTTAAAATGTTATGAAATTATATTAATGAAAAACCAACGAAAATCAATTTGGTCAAACAAATGAAGAACCGCATTCTGCAGATTTCCGATCCTTCTTTTCATAAAAAATATTCAAATATACTTTTCCAATTATTTATTAATAATTCCTACCCGGATCCTCACTTGAGAAGATCGTAGTACGTCAACCATTGACGTTCAAATTAACAATAACAACCAGTTGAATATAAATCCTGCATAGTATGACAATATTACAATTGGGGCTGATCCACCTCCAGTTCCTATACTTTTCTCTTCTTTACCATACATAAGTGATAGAACCATATTCACCATTAATAAATTATTTTCGAAACTTAAAGATAAAACTCCTATTAACTTTCAATCTCAATTAATCTATTCCATTCCATGTTTAAATTGTGGTAGGGAATATATTGGTCAAACGTAAAGAGTACTCAAAGACAGAATCAGCGCCCATAAAAGTGATAGTAGATTACATCCTGAGAGATGTGCTCTCAGTAATCATGTTTCCAAAGAAGGTTATAAAATGGACTACAATTCAACAAAAATTGTATCAACTGAAAGAAATACATCCAAAAGATTGTTTTTGGAAATGTCATTTATATTAGAATTCAATAATTGCCTTAATAAAAGATCAGACATTGATCACCTCAGTGAAATCTATACCTTTTTATTAGACATTGACAAAAATCTACATGATTTCCGAACCAGTAATAATTCTGGTTTTTCAATAATATAATTTCATAACATTTTAAATATTTTCTCTTTTAACAAACTCCCAACCTCCCTCTATGGCAGGGTTTTACTTCCATTTAACAACACCTCTTCACTTGTTTTCTCCTAAAGACTAATGAGGATGTTGTTCAATCAATTAACATATTTAATTTTTGGGTTTTCTCATTGAGTTCCTTACAGATGTTCCATCAGATGTCTCTGATCACACTTGCACCATAATAACTTGCACCAAAATCCTTCAAAAACATTTTTCTAGAGGTGATTTCGAATCGAATGAGCTATCGTTCATATTTTTAGGACCTTTATCTCTATTTTTCATGTTTTGAACTGGTTGATTAGACTATCTATCAACAACATAAATGCGTAGTTTGCTTTGAGTAGGACACACTACGTCCTCGGACGAAGCGACTTTTTAACATCCATTATGTAATAGGAGGAGACTGGTTTACTGCGTCGTAAGGGAAGCAAACACAAAAAAGAGAGAAGAAGAAGACTCTGCGAATCGTGATCCAAGACAGAACACTAACACTGCTAGTATCGTAACCTCACAAATATCTTGTTGTGCTTTCATATTATATGTGAAAATTGATGCTATCCTTTCATAAAAAATTGTTTTCAAAAACAATATTTCTATCGGAGTCCTGAATTTTGGACCCATCTTTTTTTAGAAAATACTAGAGCGCTATGGCTGGAGTAGAACTAGTTATTGAAGAAAAAAAAGATGATACAGTAGACAGGCAGAAGGTATTCAATTACTTTTTTAGATGTAATTTTGTCAATTTTTATTTTTGTTTTCATTGCAGGTATGCCCATTCTTGTTGCGAGTTTTCGTATCTTCCACAGGATCCCACCATAAACCCTCCGATTATATGAAGGGTAACTCTCCACAAAATGAACTTCAAGTTTATACTTGGCGAGATGCAACTTTACATGAACTTACCCAGCTCGTCAAAGAAGTAAATCCTGAAGCAAGAAGAAAAGGGACTAAATTCAGTTTTGCTTTTGTTTATCCTGATATTAGACAGCCGGTATATCGCATACGAGAAATAGGTAGTACAATGACTGGTGTAAAAGGGCCAGATGATTTGAAGACTCTTGGTCAACTCCGTCTGAACATTGGTGACTATGTGGATATAGCTATTACACCCCCTGATTCATGGAACAATGTCAGGAAAGGATACAATAATAGTTATAACAATAGGTCAAGACCATATTAATTAATCCTTGATATTGAATTTATCTAATAAGTTATCTTATGGTTTTTGAAAGTGATTTTTCTTGAAGTTTGTTATTTGATCTGTTGTTTTAGAAATTTCAGAATTGATTTTAATTTTGGTTATCTTGACACTATCATTTAATGATATAGCTTGTGAATATTTATAAAGGTACCAATTTATCCCAAGAAAATGCAAAAGTTCACACCATTTATTGATTTCAGTATGTAAATGTAAAAGAAAACACTAAAAAATAAAATAAGTTCATTTTAGAAGTGGGACCTCATTTTTCAGAAATCCTCCAAAATAAATCTAGAGGTGTCGTGTCTGGTGAACGAGGAGGCCACTTAACAGAATCATTTGTAGCAATCCATCTGTTTCCAAAACAAAACATTCTTTTCACGCCACTGAAATTATGTGCTGGTGCTCATCCTGCTGAAAATAGATCATCTGACGAGTCTCCAGATCAAGATCATCGAAAAAGTCTTTCAACACCCTTGTTAATAAATTAATGTAACGGGGCCCGTTCAAAGAACCATAGCAGAAAAATGGACTGATAATTCTGCCTCTAAATAGACCACACCAAACATTATTACTAAATCGTCTTTGCATGCTTAGGGGATGGACTAGAAATGGATTATGTCTACTCCAATAATGAAAATTCTTTCTATTATGCATCCCACAATTTGAAAAATTAACCTCACCGCTCCATATAATATTTGTATAGAAGTTTGGAACTTGTCTGTCATAAACCACCAACGAAACTGGTCTTAACTTATAAGGAGAAATCTTATGTTTCTTCAGAATAACAGACAGTGGAACAGCTATTTCTCTAGATGAATATCTGATGGAATTATTTGTATTTACCTCAAAGTAGACTAAAACGTTAATTTCTGTATCTTCAGATATTACAAAACGTTTTTTAGTTCTTCGCTTCTCAAAAAACTTTTTCATTGTTCCTGAATCAACAATGAAGCACAGCAAAAAAATGCTGATTAGGTAATTCACGGTCGGGGAACAAATCGCTATAGTGTTGGAGTGCTTTTACGCTATTTTTCTGGCAAACCAAGTAGGATTCAGAACAGCTATTTCTCTAGATAAATATCTGATGGAATTATTTGTATTTACCTCAAAGTAGACTAAAACGTTAATTTCTGTATCTTCAGATATTACAAAACGTTTTTTAGTTCTTCGCTTCTCAAAAAACTTTTTCATTGTTCCTGAATCAACAATGAAGCACAGCAAAAAAATGCTGATTAGGTAATTCACGGTCGGGGAACAAATTGCTATAGTGTTGGAGTGCTCTTACGCTATTTTTCTGGCAAACCAAGTAGGATTCAGAACTTATCACATTTTTCTTGATGAGAAAATGGCATTTCGAAAAATATTCGAACACTAGTTGACAGTTACAATAATTTATGACATTGTCATGATATTCTTGAGAATATTTGACAAATAGTATTTCAACAAAGTTTCAAGGCAACTTGATTACTCATAATAATTGTGTTTTATCGAATCAATAGTAATTTATTATACAAGGGAAAAAAGTATTAGATTTTAGCTGGAACGAGATGGATGGACGGAGAATTATCAAAAGCTTTTGAAGAAAGTTAGTGAAGTGTTTTTGAAGCGATCGATTGTGTATATATGTAAGTAGTATTCAGAAGTACTTTCAATTATAACCCTGCCTCTTTTCAACGTTTCAGCTCCTGCTTTGGAGCCATTTTCAAGAATCGTTTGAAACTGTACTTACATGACTCGACGACGAGGTCGCAATCTCCTTTGCCACCAAGTCTGTGATTCTTATATAATCAGAAATGATTATTGAATAACGAAATTAGTTACCTCCCTAACTATATTATTAAAGGGGAGCTGTTGGAAGGTAGGTTGTACTATATCGTTTACTTGAACTATATCACTGAATCTGAGTTCTTAGAGAATTTTTTCATGTTTATTTCTGTCAGTTATTACAGGGGAATAATGACATGTTCAAGGGTTTTCCGACGAAGCAGTGATGCTGAATTTTTTAGAATTTGTATTTCATATAAAAAACTCTTGTGTCCAACAATATATCTAATTATTTTTGGATTTTCACACGTTATGAACATGTATTATCCTACTGTCATGTCTCGAGTCTCGTCTTGAATTATTTTTAATTTTTTCTGATGTAGGTGTTAACGGCGTCGACGGTTATAGTATTTAGTCCTGTGTTTTAAGTAGGAAATAAAAGTATCTACATCAACCTAATTTAAACTAGAAAAATTCTCGAGAAAAATGTCTGGATGAGCTTGTGTTCGAACCCACGATTTTTGGACCTTAGTCGGGCGCATAATCATGTTTTCATTGGTCAGTTATTTTTTTCAAGGATCGACGTTTTTGTGAGTTTTTTTATTTACTTCATTCGTCAATGATTAGTGAGGTGACACACTAGAAAGAGTCATGAATTATTTTTACAACTGAAAAAATATTTCATCAATAGTCTCAGAAAATGGATATTTATTGGGTTTACTGTTTACTGAATACATTAAAAAATAAAATCGTGGTGTTTCTATATAAGACTCTATTGTTAATTTTCACCCATTTCTGTATTTTCTGAATTCTTCTCCACAGTTGCAATTCTCTTCCCAAGATTGAGTAGCAGCAATTTTTCTTGATATGCAAAAGTTATAGCAGGAAAAATATGGAGGTGGCTCTGTGGAAGAAATTAGCATTATAAGATTTTGATTCTTTTTCAGAAAGAAGTAGGTTGAGGTTAACATTTGAAGAACAATATGCGTGCATTAATCTATTCGACAATTCTTCATTTGTGAAGATGAATGTTATTTTAACTTATTTTATCAAAATCTTATGGAATACTCCAAGATCATATTGACCGTTTACGATTATGATATCATTATGGTCCTCTCTATACCTAAACACAAATATTCTATCAAACTTTCGTGAACTCCATGTACCTTAGTTCGCGAAGAATCCATTGACATTTATCGTTTACTTTCCTCCTCTGGGTAAAAAAATATGCTTAAAATATACTTTTTCGTTAACCAGCTATCGCACCCCTATGAACGAAAACCCTCAGAAGTCGAAACTTGTGCGAGCTAAGGACTAACGAGGTCTTACCTTTTAACGCGTGATTCTCAATTCAGTTGGGCGATAACAAGTGAAAATCGATCGTTCAGCCTGCGGCCTGAACCATCGACAGACACGTCGGCCGATTGACTGAGTGAACAAAGCACCCACGTCGAACCGCCTGGCTCCCGGGTAAATTTTCCCTTTTGAAATGTAGACGTAGAAAAAACGCAATCTTTTCAATGAGCATTACTCTGCTTTTTTTCCGTGTTTGTTGGCCGTGATTTGCCGGTTTTTATGTCGGTTATGTTTCGTCTACGGCCCCGGTCGCCATCCCTGAAAGCACTGAGGCAACAGGCGGATGCTGCGGTTGCCGTCATATCAGATACTCAACTCGGGGCATAACTTCTGCTGAAAAATTGTTTTTCCGTCAACCAGCTGTCGCCCCTCTTACGAACGACAACTCTCAAAAGTCGAAACTTGTGCAAGCTAAGGTTTAACGACGTCTTACCTTTTAACGTGTGATTTCTAACGCGGGTTGGACGATAGGAAGTGAAAAATTTATCATCCGGCCTTGCGTTTCGAACAACCGGTTCGCACAGTGGTTGATTGAGTGAGTGGAGCAAACTACCCACGTTAACCCACCAGGATACCGTCCCAACTCCGACACAGTTATTTTCTGCTTTGATAGTTTATAATCTGAATCCATATTAACCTCAGATAGGTAACTAATTTGATAGCGTGAAGTTATTGTCGAAGAAAAATATTTATTAGTTCAATTACTACCCTGTTGAATATTCCCAAGACAATTTCAGCAAGAAAAAAATCGAAATAGGTTAATCTATATCAATGGCGTAGTCTTCATTCTATTTATAATTTTACGAAGAATGAAAAAGCTATTTTATGTAGTCGATGCAAATATCGAATGAGTAATACTATGATCACATGATTTATTATTATTTGTCATTTTCAACTCAAGTTTAGTATGCGGTAATTTTTTTCATGATGCTTCCTGTGAAAAAAGTTTGTCCATGACAATTTTGAAGGATATCCATTTTTTATAAGTATTCTCACTTGAAATGTTACATATACTAGAGGTGAATAATCATTAGTCAGTACATTTTATAACTACTCTTCCAATATGTTAACCATACCTAGAACGATTGCAATTTTTAATTGTTCACACGGATGATTTACAACACTCGTCTAACTACACCCTTGTCAATAATTGAAAACTGCAGTCGTTTTATCAAACCTATGGGTTGTGTCGATTATGTCACCCATATGAATAATAGCCATGATTATTTGCCCGTTGAATAATATAAAATTTCAAGACAGATATCATATGAAATACCGCCTTATGAGAACCTTTTGAAAATAGATAACTAAACAGAATTTATGTCATCAATTTGTTTGAGAATCAAATTGTTGTTACTCACCTTGAGCAGCACATCCTCCCATGGTGATCATTAACACAACGCACAGCAATGTTGGTAACAACTTCATTTTGTATCGTTGATAACGACTGTTATTATATAATATGCTCTCTTCAATTTATAAATTATATTTTCTGGGATTTTTTGGATGATGACACAACTGTATATTTGGAAATATAATGATGTGATTCCCAATATTTACTTTTATTTACCGCCGAAATGTTTTTATATATTTGAATTACCGTACAGTAATATTTATATTATACTTCCATAACGTATTGTGTATTATGAAATTATGAAACAACAACAAAAATTTATTAGCGCTCCGGGGCGACTTGATTGATTCCAGTGGCGTATTTGCTTTTTCAGCTACAGGAAAAACCTGCAGCAACACATCTGAAGATATTGATCTGCCATTGTCCTCTCTTTCATAGAATTAACTACTAGTAGACCAGTCGATATCTTGGAAATATATCCCAGGAAGGTCTCGAAAAGGAACTAGATATCATCAAAAATGATCTTCAACGGAATGGCTACTCCAAAGCGATGGTAGAAAAGACTTTGGCTAAAAGACAGCAGGAGCCTTGCAAGGAAGAGAAGCCTATTCAATTGTTCTATTTTTACTTGTATTTTATTTCACTATTATTTCATTTCAGGTTTATTTTGCTTAATATAATTGTTATTTTCAGCTATTCATTTTTAATTCTTCTTTTTTAGTTGTTTCAGGGATTTCAAATCATTTTATATAATAGACAATGGAAGTCCGAACTAGTGAAATTCATCATGAAACATTGTCAATCACCTTCAAACAATTCTAAGCTGTGATTTTTATTTGCGATATATGTTCTAAGTACACGAAAAAAATCTTTGCTAACAAATATGCATTTGGGTTTGTTGAATGAAATGAATATCAAAATGAAAGACAGGTGAAAATTCATTTACTTACTGTGAATGAAACAAGTTTCTTGTCTCAGATTGTTTATAACCAATAATCATAGTACTCATGGAGATAAAATATCTTATTAATCTAATTTTACTAGTTCAGACTTCCATTGTTTAATATGATATAACATGATTTGAAATCTCTGAAAGAACAGACAAAATTGAAAAATAAATTGAACAGCTGAAACTAAATATTATATCAAGCAATAAACCGCGAAATAAAATTACAATAAAATAGAAGTAAACAAAAACATAAAAATTGAATAATTGAAAATGGAATCAAAAATTAAAAAGATTCAAACCAAGCTACTTCACAACGTTTCGATTGTTAGTATCCACAATCATCTTCGGGTGATGACTGGACTATTCCTCCGAGAAATGACTATTTATAAGTCATTCGAATGCTTTCACCTATCCCTCTTCCCTCTCCCCGTTTCGCTTTATGGGAGTTGACCATTTTTCCGCTTAAATAAAGGTTTCCACGTGTTGGGTATCTTTACGATAGCTTCTTTGAATTTCCTCTTAAACCAGTGTTTCTCCCTGTGGATGAGTCCAAACATGCTCTGCTATTCCTGATTTGCTGGTTTCTCCTCGCTGTGTGTTTCTCTTGTGCTCGGCAATGCGGACTTTCAATGACATCTTAGTTTCACCGATATCAGGTTTAAAAAAAGCAATTTAAATTGTTTTTGAGGTCCAATGTGCGAGAATACTTACTGAAGAAGTAGACAGTTTTTACCTCAGCGATAATAGTCAATGGACAGAACCATTTGTTACTGAGAGATAAACTGAAACACTTTTCAGAGTTTTTTAGGTGAATGTATAAAAAAATCATCAGCAGCAAATCAAATAACAAGAAAGCAAGTACAATGTCAGATCTTCCAACTATATAGTAAAATATATTTTCATGAAATCAGTTATTAAAAGTCACAGCAAAAAAAATCACAATACTTTTGCCAAGTTTCAAAACACCAAAATCAAGAGAAATCTAGAAATTCAGAATTCGGCGTTATCTCGAATACTTCAAAGGGAATATACAGAGTGTTCCTTAAACACATGCTAATATTTTAGGAGGTAATTCTTAGACCCATTTTAAGGAAAAAACGTCCTATGGACGTATGTCCTAAACGCCTCAACTTTTGAGATACAGGGTGGCAAAGTTTTCAAAAATAATCAGTTTTTTGATAATAACTGAGATAATTTTGTAGACATCTTTGGCATATTTTGTACATATGTTCCATGCCTCAAGGCGCATTTTCTGATGTACAATTTTCTTAATTTTCTCTGCCAGTGGCGTACGTACGAGTTTTGAAATGTATATTTTTGGCGAAAAAAATACTACGCCACTGCTTTATCTTGAATTAAAAATTATTTTTAAAATCTCCATACATTNACTTTTTCCCCAAAAATATTCAATGCGAAACCCGTAGGGATGCCACTGTTTGAAAAAATACAAATTTGTGTACATCAGAAAATGCGCCTTGAGGCATGGAACATATGTACCAAATATGCCAAAGATGTCTACAAAATTATCTCAGTTATTATTAAAAAACTGATTATTTTTGAAAACTTTGCCACCCTGTATCTCAAAAGTTAAGGCGTTTAGGACATACGTCCATAGGAAGTTTTTTTCTTAAAATGGGTCTAAGAATTACCTTCTTAAATATTAGCATGTGTTTAAGGAACACCCTGTATATCTGTCTTCAAAGCTAGATAATTATTGAAAATGACGGCAAATTCTTAGAACAAAAAATCGTAAATAACATATTTATGTTTATCTATTGATTGAAATCTTCTGACTTTGTAACAATTCAATTCAAATGCCACAAGTTCATTGATTTTATTTGTCTATTATATTGGAATATTTGCTTTTTGTAGTTGACAATGCATATCCATTGTATTTGAATTGAATTATAATGTTATTCAAAATGAAACTATCAGACTTCATAAATGAAATGAAATATCTGATATATTGAAAACTCATGAAAAGATAATGAAAATCATACTTAACTTGCTTTTTTCCTCATAGTTTATCATAAATAGGTACCTTCTTTTTTTTCGTAATTTTTTGAACTTTTTGTTTTAAATTTTGGGGCCGTTCAAGTAATACGTAAGCATATTTATTACAATTATTAATCCGCCCCACCCCCACTCCCATGCTTACGTAAACAGTGTTGTATGTATTTTTCATTTTTCACACATAGACAATATGTGGATTGCCATATGTGTTAAAAAATAAATAACGGCACACACACACACACACCAACAAACACATCCGTCACTAGTCAGGCACAAACACTTTAAACAAAAAAAATTAGATTTCAATCTCGCTGAAAAAGCAGGGGAGGATCACACTACTTGGGAAGTGGAACAAAACTTTATTTCCCAAAAGAAATCAATGTGAACCTCAAGTGTAGATCTGAATCCGTTTCTTTCAAACGATAAATAAACAACCCAAATCTCGCGTTTCTCGAGGACTCACTGTTATTTTTCAGTTTCCATAATGAAGAACTCGTATTGCTCTTCTCAGAGTAGGTTGGAGGTAAAAGCCTGTCCTGGCCCAACGGAAAAGCTACCCACCAACGTAGCTGGGCTTGACCTAAGGTCGAACACATTCAGAGGTACAGAAACCCGGACCGTTTACGGCGACCTTCCGTAGGCTTTTCGCACTTTCAGTGATAGGAGTTATGCAGCTAGCGATGATGTTGATGGTTGTTATATCATCGCTTTTTTTGTTCACCTCAGAAGTGTGTTAGGTCTTAAAAATGAATCGAGTATTTTTCTGAAATTCCATCAACGCTAACGTAGCTGTTGGTTATCGCCTTTGAGGATACTCCAGGAGTCGAAAGACTCTTGGCTCTGATTCTTCTTGTGGGAAGAGCTGTCAGCAGCAGAACCTACGTACACCGCCGCGCACGATGGCTATTATGTTCTTTGAAACAACTTTCAAAGAGATGTTTGAACCTAAATTTCAAAATTCATCAACACCGCTTCGTCAACAGTCTTGAAATACCACGTCTTTTGGTTATGTAATACTAGGAGCGCGTAACGAGCCCACTTGTCCAGCACAGCAGGGCACGGCCCGTCCCGTCAAAATTCGTATAGGATTGGAACAACGAAAATGAATGGACAACCATCCACTAGCCCGGCACGGCACAGCCAATAGCGTGCGCCTCTGGAAAGGATTCCAGCTCTCCGATCCTAACCGGCAAACAACGGAACGTGCTGTGACGGATTGGCCAAGTGAGTGCGTCGCCGGTCAGCGCTTGCCACCATCAACTTGTCCAAACGTGCCTGGGAATTTTCTGTCTCTCTGTTTTGCTATAACATCAGTTGTATAACACAGTGTCAGATGGGCATATGAAAATGGACGAGGAAAAATTGAGTTGCTTGTTGAGGCAGGCTGTAAAATATCCATAAGTTCTGAAAATTTCCCTGGAGTCATTCGGAAAGATGATGAAAACCTCCCAGATTTGTCCTCTCTTGATTAATGGGATGGATTATTGTGACTATTTTCTTCTACATTCAATAATGCGGCCATTATAATGACGACTTCTTCGTCAGAACTGCGAGTGATGGACATGTTTCTGTCACCGCTCGATGTCAAACGAAATTACTTTGAAATCGAACAAGCAGCACTTTCAGTATGCTGGTTGTAGCTGGACAAGTGGGCGATGCTACTACCCGTCGCCATCAGGCGACGGACAGCGACGTACTGTGCTGTGCCGGACAAGTAGGCAACAAGCTTTACAGGCTGATCCACACTTCGTCATACACTTCTCCGATCGGACTCCGGTTTGATTTTGCACCAAAAGCGGATTGGTGTAGGATCGCCAGTGGGTAATCACACTTGTCATACATGCTTCCGACTTCTTTCCGATTTACCGCTCCGGCTTGATACAATTGCCACTATCGCCAGTGTCGATTCAAACAATATCTCGGAGGTCTTCTAAGCAAAATGTTCAAGAATTTTAGCAACTACGATTTAGCCATTATGGCACTCTGTTTGAAAGAAGAAGATGAAGAAAATCGGAGAGCTCTCATAGAGAACAGCGGTACAACTCTTTAGTCTGGTCATACAGAACTGGATATTTTCTGACTTTTAATAAGCTCCTCTGGTTTTAATGTTGTGTTGGTTATTTGTTGTGCTACTCGCTACGTTTGCTAGTTTTGTGTTCGTCCGCAATA